ATCCTTCGGTTGAAATGGCCATTCAGGCAGCGCAGGAAGAGGAGGAGGTTGTGGCGGAGGAACATCGGCGGGAAAAAGTAAAGAGACGGCTGCAGAGTCCAGCGCGTAGTCGGTAACCGCCATTATGGCGCGAGCGTCCGCTTGCGACAGGTGTTTGGCAAAGTCACGAAAGTGCTGGGTGGTAGCACGCTTGGCACGATGTGCCGGTAATGCAACACGCCAGCGACCTACGCCTGACTTCACTTGTAGTTTGGCATTTTCGCAGCGTTGCATAGCAAGCGCGGCGATTTGCTCCTGGGGAAGGCGTTGGGAATGGCAGAGGAGGTAGAGAGCACATATGAAAGAGTCGAAACAAAGGTGCTGCATGAGACTGGCGCGTGAGCCAAAGGGGAGACTGCAGGCCGGGCACACCTGGGTGTCCGGTACTAGGCCTTTGACCCTGTGGGAGGAGCAGGAGGGAGAAGGGAGGGGGAGCAGGGAAAAGAAGAAGGATAAAGAGGAGGAGGAGGAGGGGGAGGAGAAGGAGAAGGAGAAGGAAAAGGACAAGAAGAAGGAGAAGGAGAAGGAGGATGAGGAGGAGAAGGAGGAGGAGGAGGAGAAGGGGAGGGAGAGGAGGATGAGGAGGAATGGGACGAGGAGGAGGAGGAAAAGGAGAAGGAGGAGAAAGAGGAGAGAGGAGAGGAGAGAAGAGAGAGGAGGCTAAAAAGTAGGGAGGAAGTAAGAGGGAGGAGGAAGGATGAGGAGAAGGAGGAGAGGAGGGCCTGGCCGCTTTCGAGGTATGGTGTGCTGGACGCACGGCAGTACTGGCGCAGCTCACACAGGGCACTGAGCTGGAGCGTGCCTTACAACTCCGCGGCGCTATGGGAATGCAGCCCACAGCAGGTGATGCCCAAGGCGGCTGCGAAGGATCCTCCTTGAGGGCCGTGCGCGCGCGTTGCTCGAGTACAAGATCGACGACAGACGACGAGACGACCTTCGTCAAAGCATCGAAAGAATACGTCGCAGATCTACGAACATGATACGTAATATTTCGTAGGTTCGGCTCAAAAAACGTTGGGCAACATCCACTATGTTGTTGACATCCTATTCGAATTACAACGATGCTCCTCCTCCTCCTCCTCCTCCTCCTCCTCCTCCTCCTCCGCCTCCTCTTGTTTGTTTTACGTTGGGCGGGTATCTCCTCCTCCTCCTCCTCCTCCTCCTCCTCCTCCTCCTCCTCCTCCTCCTTCAGGCCGCCCGCACACCTCAGCCCCCAGGCCCCTCTGGGGCGGCCTCGTGACAGGCGCGCAGCCGCGATCGCGCTCGCCCGCGTGGCACCGGCGAGCTATGCGGCACGTGCAGAGGCTCGTGCCAGCCTACGCCAGGAGGTACCAGCTCGGCGGATCTGAGTTCACCACGTCAGCTCCTCCTCCTCCTCCTCCTCCTCCTCCTCCTCCTCCTCCTCCTCCTCCTCCTCTTCCTCCTCCTCCTCCTCCTCCTCCACCTCCTCCTCCTCCTCCCCCGGCAAGCCAAAATCAAGCTGGAACACCACGAGCGCAAGCCAGTTGAATATGCTGGCGTGCCGAAAGCAAGCCGGGAAGCAAGCCAATGGCAGGTTCGACACAAGTCAGAGGCAAGAAAGGCGCAGGCAAAAGGCACTCGAAGAACAGGCTCAAAACAAGCTCGGGGCAGCTTGAAGGCAAACAGCGGCGGCGCCAGGGCTCCGAAACGAGACGGGCCGGGCCAGCTTCCCGAAGCGCCTGGCCGAGAGCCACACCCATGCCACCGACCTTAGGTCGGGCGCCTCCCCCTACAGGGGGATGTGGGGCGAGAAAAAACAATACTCAAAATACACTCCGAAAGAATCCAAAAATAACCAAAAATCGTCGCCTGACTATTTTTGACTATTTTTTGAATATTCCTCCTGTGGAGGGACGTGCCCGACTTAACACCAGCCCTCTGCCGCCAGCCACAGGCCGAGGACCCCTCGGAGCCCGGGCCCACCTCGAGGCGAGGCCGCCGTCAAGGCCATTCGCCGCGAAGGCCTTCGAGGACGAATTCGGAGGGCGCTGGCGTGCGGGGTTCAGTATCGGTGTGCATGCATGCGCACGTGTGCTGCCACTGCTATGAGAACGCTCGGGGGATGACTTGGGCCGCCCCTAGTGAGTATCGTTCAACCGATCCCCATCCCCAGCGGCGCGGCCTGGGCCCCACTGGCCGATTAGCCCTAGATGGGGATATAGGCCGCTCCCTTCGGGCTTCGAGGGGTGTGCCCAACTGGGGTGGTAATTTGGTGGGGTCTCGAAGGGGATGGGGATGGGGATGGGGATCGTTTAAACGATACCGACCGAGAGGAACCAAAACCGACAGACACATAATTTCTCGGAGGTCCGCGCGGGTTTCTTGGATCGGCGCGCGGAGCGCGCGGATCGCGCCCAGGGCGGCGCCGGAGGCGCCGCCAAGGGGAGCCCAGCGCCGATCCAAGGAATCCGCGCGAACCTCCAAGAAGTGCTCCATAAGTTAAACTTCGATTCCCCATCGAAGGCCTAAGGACAACCTAAGGCAAGCTGCGAAACAATTGAGGAGCACGGGGCCCCTCCCCAACGAGAAGGGTTCCTTGTTCAGCCCCCCGACGATATGCCGCTCTTGCTTTGCGCTTCGAGCCCCGGAGGTCCCGCGCGGGGCCTCCTCCGCCTCCACGCCCCGCGCGCCGAGGGCCGCCAGGACGCACAGCGCCTGAGCGGCGACACCCGAGCCCTGTCCCAAACGGCCATCGGTTCTCCCGAATCGATGGGGGGCAGGTGCAGGAGGACAGCACAACCCACCCCCAGCCCCAGCCACACCCCCACCCCCAGCACAACCCAGCCCCACCCCGAGGACAACCCAGCCATCGATGGAGGACAGCACAACCCACCCCCACCCCCAGAGGGGACCCCCACTGCCGGCCTGGCGATCCAGGGGGTCCTGGCTGGGTGCGGGGCCGGCGTTTACCCCTCAACGCAATCCCCACCTCCAGCCAGGACCCCCCCTGCCGGCCTGGTGATCCAGGGGGTCCTGGCTAGCTGCGGGGTCGGCATTTACCCCTCAACGCAATCCCCACCTCCAGCCAGGACCCCCACTGCCGGCCTGGTGATCCAGGGGGTCCTGGCCGGGTGCGGGGCTGGCTTTTGCCCCTCAACGCAATCCCCACCTCCAGCCTGTCCAGCCAGGACCCCCGCTGCCGGCGTGGTGATCCAGGGGGTCCTGGCTGAAAGCGGGGCTGGCGTTTGCCCCTCAATACAATATCCCCACCTCCACCTCAAGACATGAGCCCCGCTTCCAGCCTGGTGATCCAGGGGGTTCTGGCTGGCTGGGTCTCAACATAACCCCCACCTCCAGCCAGGACCCCCCCTGCCGGCCTGGTGATCCAGGAGGTCATGGCTGGGTGCGGGGCCGGCTTTTACCCCTCAACACAATCCCCACCTCCAGCCAGGACCCCTTCTGCCGGCCTGGTGGTCCAGCGGGGTCCTGGCTGGGTGCGGGGGTGGCTTTTACCCCTCAACGCAATCCCCACCTCCAGCCCGGACCCCCACTGCCAGCCTGGTGACCCAGCGGGGTCCTGGCTGGGTGCGGGGCTGGCTTTTGCCCCGTAACACAATCCCCACCCCCAGCCAGGACCCCCCCTGCCGGCCTGGTGATCCAGGGGGTCCTGGCTGGGTGCGGGGCTGGCTTTTGCCCCGTAACACAATCCCCACCCCCAGCCAGGACCCCCCCTGCCGGCCTGGTGATCCAGCGGGGTCCTGGCTGGGTGCGGGACCGGCATTTGCCCCATAACACAATGCCCACCTCCAGCCAGGACCCCCCCTGCCGGCCTGGTACTCCAGGGGGTCCTGGCTGGGGGTAGGGGTGGCTTGTACTATCCCCAGGTAGGGTTCGGACTTCGCCACGTGTTCGACGAATTCCGAGCACTGCCCCCGCGGCCCACCGAGCTGCCCAAATCGTGGATCGGCGAGGGTCCAGCGGAGGCCCGTCCACAAGGAACCATCCACAAGAAGCCCAATCCTGAGACCCCAGGACGTCCGTTGATTTTTGGTGCGGGGGCGTCGCGCTTTCCAAAGCAAAACCATCGAAACACAAGAACCCCAGGGCACCCTGGAGGCACGGAGGGTGCTTTTTTGCATGGCCCCCCACTGCACAGGGTTCGAACTTCGCCGCCGAGCGCCGCCCCGAGACTATTCTTGGACAATTCTTGAATATCCCTCCCGTAGAGGGACAGGCCCGACTTACGTCTAGGGCTCGAATTCCGCCACCGAGCGCCGCCCCAGGGGGAAGGTCCAGACCACTTCCCCGGGACCGGCGTTTCCTCCCGAGTCGCTCTGTGGACGCTCCCGAGGCCTGGCGAGGGCCCCCCGAGGCCGCAGACTGCCCAAATCCAGCCGCTCCACAAAACTTGTGTTGGAGCGTCGGGTCTCAGGGTAGAGTTGAGTCGGGCCTGTCTCCCTACAGGAGGATTGTCGACAAATGAAAAATACTTCAAAAAAATAGTCCAAAAATAGTCTGGGGACTGTTTTTTGAATATGTTTTGGCATTTCTCGTGCATTTTTGGTGCATTTTGGGGGTATTTTTTATCCTTCGTCGAAGAATCCCCCTGTAGGGGTACAGGCCCGACTGAAGGGCAGAGGGCTCGAGTGCCGCCCCCGAGCGCCGCCCCCAGCAGCACGAGGCCGAGCGCGGCCGCCCAGGGGGCGCAGGGCTCCGCCCGCAGCAGCGGCCCCGCGAGGCCGCGCCACAGGGCCAGGGCCGCCGGGGCCGCCGTGCACCACAGCGCGGCCACGAGGCGCACCTCGGGTCGGGCGAGAGGGGGGGGATAGCAAAGGCGGGGGGTTGAGATTCAGCTCACGTAGCTGGTTTTCCCGGCGCCTCCCGGCGCCGGAGGCGACTGCGCATCGAGGAAGGGGCCCCTCGGTGAGGCCGAAACCAGCTGCATGCAGCAGATTTCGTAACCCCCCCTTTCCCAATCTCCCCCTTTCGTCCGGCCCGAGCACCACGGACGGCCGGGACGTCTCGCCCGCGTGGCCGTATCGTGCGGGCAAGGCGCAGATTCATCCTCCCCCGAGGTCCAACGTACTGGAAAAGTCAAGACGGAGGTTTTTCTAACCATTCGGCCTCTGGCGGCCCTCGCCGGGCCCCGGGACCGTCAAAGAACGACTCAGGATGAAAAACCGGTCCTGGGGAATGGGTCGAGACTTCGAGGGACCCCGCATTGAAAAAAACACGACATCGGATCTCTGGGTTAACTGCGTCTTGGAGGTTCGGGTTCCCTCTCCCAAACAAACACCAGAGGCGCAGTGTGGAGGGGGCATGGGATAAGGAACCCTTGGATAAGGAATCCGGGGTCTGGAGGCCGGTGGAACTCCGATCGAGGCTTGGCCATGGATATCACCACCGCCCTCATCAGATAAGGAATCCTCCAGGGTCTGCAGCATCCTGGGCGCATTCCTTCACCAACGCCCCCACCGCATGGCCCCTGGAGGCCAGCTCCTTATCCACATCCCCGGCGCCTCGGCCTTTTAGCGCCCCTTCCCGGAAAGTCCAAGACGCAGTGGATATTGATATACACGTCGTTCATTTCCGATCGTGCTCATTTCTAACTGTGCTCGCTAGGAAAGAACAACTAGAAATAAAAGGATCCTGGCCGCGAAAAAAATCAAAGAACCCCCGAGGAAACAGAAATGAACCGTGTGTGTTTCACTCTTGCCCGCAGAGCGAACCAGGATCAGGCAGGTGTTCGTGAGGTTGAAGCTGAGCATCGGAGGGAGAGCCAGCCGAGGCCCCGGCGCCCCCGCCGCCCCGGCGCCGTCCGCCCTTTTCGGCGCCTCCCTCTCCTCCCTCCTCCTCCTCCTCCTCCTTCTCCTCCTCCTCCTCCTCCTCCTCCCTCTCCTCCTCCTCCTCCTCCCTCCCCCTCCCCCTCCCTCCTCCCTCTCCTCTCCTCCTCCTCCTCTCTCCTCCTCCTCTCTCCTCCTCCTCCTCCTCCTCCTCCTCCTCCTCCTCCTCCTCCTCCTCCTCCCCCTCGTCGCCACGGCCGCATCCGCCTCGGCAAGCCATAAACTAGGCGGCGCGCCCAAGGGGGGGGAAGCGGCGAGACGGGGCGTGCCTTCTCGGAAGAAGGCCTCGAAGTCCCCCCGGCCGTCTGGGGAAGTTGTCCTAAGCCTCCCCCGAAGACAGACAGTGGAACTGCCCAGAAGGCGCGAGGGGGCGTCCGAGGAGCCCCGCCGCCTGCTGAGAGGGCCTTCTCCGCCTCATTTCCCCCCCCCTCGCTCGCCGCCGAAACAAGTCAGGATGGTCCCCGCGGGAGGGGTCCTGGGACCGACGTGGAGCGGAGTTGGGCCAGGATTAGGTCGTGCATGTCCTCGTACGGGCGGATTGTGGACGGAACAATGGAGGGACAAAATATTTACAAATTGTCGAAAAGAAATAAATCTTAGAAAAATCGCCTCCGAACTGTTTCTAAAACCATTTTTGGGCTTCCCCCTGGAGAGGGACTGGCCCGACGTCAAGGCCGGGGAGCGGGAGAGCCGCCGCGATCTCGACCGGGGCCCTCCTCCGAGAGCAGGACGCCCAGGGAGATCACGTCCCAGAGCACCGAGAAGGGCACGCAGGCGGCGGCGCCCACCATCACCTGTCGGGGATGGACAGACCCCCCTTTAGTAAAACGTGGTTTAGTGAAAACAACCTGAGGCCCAAACCTGGCGGCCGCAAGCCTGGAAAATAACGGCCACGGCGCCCTCTCGAGAACCGAAAACGGACAATTCACTAATCGACGTGTCACTGTTGGGGGTTCTGCCCACCCCCAAACCTGGGGGAAGGAACTCAGCGGCATGCGGTCGGGCTGCTGCAAGAAGGGACGCGAAACAGGGAGCGAGGCCCCTCTGTGGCCCCACGAGCGCCCGTGTGCACGAGGAAGGCCAGGGAAAAAGCCACAGAAGGACCTGATGAATGTCGAGCCCCTTTCTTACCCAAACTGCTCCTTACTTCAGCGACTTGGCTGTAAACATAAAAACTCGGAGGTCCGCGCGGACTTCTCGGATATCCGCGCTGGGGCCCCCTGGCGGCGCCTCCGGCGCCGCCCCGGGCGCGCTCCGCGCGCCATGGGAGGGGGGTCCGGCGCCGATCCGAAAAATCCGCGCGGACCTCCGAGTTGTCATGCCCCAACCCAACCCGAAGACCCGAATTCCGGGTTGGGGGGGGTATGGGCTCCATATGTTTTCCTTCAATGTTCCTGGACCCCCCCACTGGAAATGGAGGGCAAATTGAGGCCTTCGGGTTGGGTTGGGGTGGTTTGGTGGGTGGTGAATCACCGCACCCGAGGCGAGGGAGCCGCCGAGGTAGGCGCCTCCGCTGGCCCGCGCGGCGAAGAAGCCTGGGGCCAGGCCGTCCTTCCCCATCGCGGCCAGCAGCTCCGGCTGCGGCAGGAAGCTCAGGAGCACCACCAGGGGCAGCAGGACGACCTCAGCTGCCCCGGCACGCAGCCTGATGGCACGGCGCTCAACACCAGGGCTGAACCTAAACGGTGTTTTTCGTTCCCGTTTTGTTTTCGTTCTCCCTCGTTTTGTCTTCAATCCGCCTTCACCGCAAAACGAAGTCGCAACGCAAACGGCCCACGAAGTCGCCAAAACACCGCTTAGGCCAAGCCCTGCTCAACACGCAGACCGAGAATGCAGGTCCGGCGCGGCACGTTGGCCAGCACGTGGGCCAACACGTGCCGAGCCCACACACAGCGTGTTGGCACGGACGCTTCGAGTACGGCACGCGTTGCGGTCCAACGCGTGCGCATCGGGGCAGCTAAGAGAGCGACCTCTCCCAGGCTCGCCAGCGCCTTCGCCCAGAGCCAGCCCCGCGCACCGAAGGCCTCCGGCCACTGTGCCGCACCTCCTGTCGGCGGCGAGCCTGGGGGGACGTGGGAGGGCGCGAGCCTTCTCAGAATGCGGCGGGGCTCCTCAGAGGAAGAGGAGGAGGAGGAGGAGGAGGAGGAGGAGGAGGAGGAGGTTGGAGCGTCTGGGGGGCAACGTCTTCAACCACTCTACTGCCGACGACGCCACAGACGACCCGGTTGGCCGAGGGGCAGTTCGACGGCTTGGAGGGCGGCTCGCGCCAGGCTTTGGGCGGCCTCCTGAGAGAACAGGCTTTACTCTCTTGGTGTGCCAACCGATAGAGATGAAAATAAAAAGCGGTGAATTTGAACGTCTCGGGGGCGGGGTGGATCAGTCCCAGAGCCAGGAGGGGGTCCAAAAACGGGGGCGCGGGGAGGTCAGCTCTTAATTGCCTACGGGCGAGCATATACATCGGGTCGCACCAACGGAAATAATGCTTTAAAGAGTCGCGAGGAGGAGGAGGAGGAGGAGGAGGAGGAGGAGGAGGAGCAGGAGGAGGAGGAGGAGGAGGAAAAAGAAAGAGAATAAGAGGAAGCGCGTGCGCAGGGGGCAGCACCTAGCACACAGCGGCCGACGTAAGCAACATGCATGGCGCGGTCTGCCTGGGCTGCTCCCTCGCAGAACCTCAAGCCTTCCGAGACGCTTTCTGTGCCTTCGGGGAAGGCTCAGAGAACTCCCCAGAATAGATGGCCCCAAACAAAAACAAACCAGCCCGACAAGCGAGACCGTTTAGTAAGCGCACCCAAAGAAGGAATCGAACAGGGCAAGGCTTTTAGTAAACGCCCAGGGCCGTTTAGTAAACGCCAATTGTCCGGTGCGGGTGGTTCTTCGTCACTTGACAGAAGGCCGGGGGCCTTCCGAGCCCCCTGAGCAGGCCCGCCCCCTGCCTCCCACCCCCCCAGGGCTCGCCGCCGAGCCTGCCGGCACCATGGCGGCCAGCGCCAACTGCGCCGCCGCCGAGATGAGCGTCGCACACAGCAGCGTGCCGAGCAGCGCCCGCGGCATGGCCCGCTCTGGCCTGGCGGCCCTGCCCGACAGGCAGCAGACCTCGTCGAAGCCGATGAAGCCGAAGATCGGCGGCGAGCGAGGGGGGGAGAAGTATCCAAAGCATTGAAAAATCAAGGCGGCGATCTTTCGCTATTTTCGGCCTCTGGGGCCCTTACTGGGCCTCAAAACCATCAAATAACGATCCATGATGAAAAACTGGTCCTGGGGAATGGGTCGAGACCTCCAGGGTCGACGTTATGAAAAAAAACATGACGCCGGGGGTCTGGGGGGGAGGGGGGGAAGTGAGGAGGAGGGGGCCCTCTCAGAAGGCGGCGGGGCTTCTCAGAAGCCCTCGCGCCTTCTGAGGAGTGTTTTGTGTGTGTGTGTGTCTTCGGGGGAGGCTCAGAGAAAACTTCTCGGAAGGCCGGAGCTCTTCCGAGCCATCCGAGAAGGCCTGCTCCTTCTCGCCTCCCCCTACCAGCCTGGAACAGATCCCTATCCCTGAGCTGGGCATCGCCTCAACACAATGCCAATCTTAGGGATTCCCTTAGTTTTTCAGAGCGCATCCCGAAGATTGTCATCGCCTTTTGGCGTGTCAATCTTAGGGATAGGGATACGTTCGAGGCTGGTGATCACCCCCTCGCTCGCCGCCGAGAAGAAGAGCTTGGACGCCCCGCGGACCGTGCCGCCCAAGCCGTGCGGGAAGAACGGCCGCGTGAAGGCGAACGCGTCCGCGCTCCTGGCGGAGCCACGAGGTACCGATCCCGCGGCTTCCTGGGCATCTCCCTGAGCGCCCTCTGGCCAGGACGTCGAGGCGCATCCAGCCGTGGCGGCAAGCCTCCAAGGCCCCCCCAAAAAAACGAAAGCGGGGGACGGGCAGATGCACGGCGAGGGCATTGGCCCTGCCGTTGGAGAGGGAACCGTTGGATAAGAAATCCGGGGTCTGGAAGCTGGTGGAACTGCAGATCGTGGACCGGCCGTGGACATCACTGCCGAGCACACTCCTTAACGAACGCCCCCGCCGTATCGGTACCTGTTCTCCTCTGAGCTCCAAGCAGACAGTCCACCCACGATGAAGAACAGGACCAGGGCGAGCTTGGCGGCGGTGAACGCGTTCACCACGACCCTGCCGACCGAGAGCCCGGAGCTAGCGACGGCGACGGCCAGAGCCATGATCGCGCCGGCCGGCCAGTCGAAGTAGAGGTCGCCCTCCCCGCGGGCGTCGGTGTACCACACGAACATCCAGTCTCCTCTCGGGGGGCGTCAACCCGCACCCGCCTCGCCGCTCCTGGCCTGGCCCATCCTGGGCCCAGCACACGTGCACACTCCGCCCGGGCTTGGCCGGGGAGGCGTGCACGTGCCGAGCCTGGGCCCAAAGATCGGCCCGGCCAGGATTGAAGGGGCCCTGGGACAGACAAAAAAAATACACACAAACAACAGGATTCCCCATAGTTTCCCATATGTTCTGGGTTTTTGTAATCTCCCCCACTTCACATCTTTTCCCATATTTTCCTAGGGAATCGACGACTGCTTGTGCCTGTGTGTGGTTTCTCCCCTCCTGAGTGGATGCAGTCGTCGGGCTGCCACGAGGACTGCCGAATCCGAGGAGCGAAGGGGCGCCTCTGACCACGGCGGGCCCTGGCCGCGACCAGGCCCCGGGACCCAGATCTTAAGGAGTACTTCGGACCATTTGGGGCTATGCGTTGACGATGTTGGCATCTGTTCTACCAGTTTCGGAATATGTTGTTTATACCATGTGGAATGTGGAATCTATTCTACCATTTTTGGAATATGTTATGCAATTTTGACGATTCGGGAATATGTTCTACCATGTTTGGAATCTGCTCTACCATTTTTGGAATATGTGTTGCATATTCTGTATTTTTCGTCGAAAATCCACCCTGTAGGGGGACACGCCCGACTTAAGACCAGGTCCCGGGACCCAGATCTCAAGGAACGGCCAGAGAGACCGAGCCCCTCCTGAGCTCAAAGTGGCCCTCACGTCAGCGCCCCGACCGTAGGCGTGCAGAGCTTGCCCCGACCCGGGGCCCAGGATCGGCCCGGCCGAGCTCGGCGAGGGGGAGACCGGGACCCGGAGCCCGCGAAAAGCTGCATGGCCGATGGATCAGAGCTGGCCCCCCCCCGACCGCGAGCCCGAGCGCTCCCGGGCGGGAGGGGAGGGCCGAAGACCTGACGCTGGCGAGGAGTGGGCGGCTGGGGACCCCTGCTCCCCCCAACCCCCCTGGGCCAGCCCCCCTGCCGTTGCCGCCGGCAGCCGACGCCCCCAGGGTCCTCCCCCCGTGAGCTCCGCCACCAGGCTCGACCAGCTCCTGGCCACCCCCGCGCCGGAGACGCCGTACTCCAGGGTGATAGGGGGCCACATGCGAGCCCTACCCCTACCCCCCACGATTTCTGAGAGGAGGGTGGGGTTCACTTCGTTCGGGAGCTCCCGAGCGAAGTGAACCCCACCCTCCCCCTCAGAAATCGTGGGGGGTAGGGGTAGGGTTCGCATGTGGCCCCCTAGGTGAGGCAGGCGGCGCCGATGACGGCGCCGAGCTCGCCGAGAGCGTGGAGCGAGTAGGCGTAGCACGCCCCCGAGGTGGGCACCCGCCCGGACAGCTCGACGTACGAGAGGGCCGACAGGAGGCACACCGCGCCCGCGCCGAGCCAGCTCAGCGCGGCGGACGGCAGAAGAGCACAAAACAGGCGGCCAGGTAGGAACCTACAGGCCAATGTGGCTGGGGACAGCAGCCCGCCTCGTGGTTCCGGGCAGGCAGCGCGGTCCGGCGGAAGGGGGCGAAGAGGGGAGAAGCAGGCAGACGACGACGAACGCCCAGGCGGGAGGCCAGGGCCGGCGGGGCGGCCAGGCCAGGACAGACGGTCGGGAACTTCGGCAGAGCGTGTCGCGGACGCGGCCCCCCGGCGACACGGCATGCCTTGCGAGCGGACAGCGCGTCGCTCCGCCTCGCGGGGGGGGGGGTAAAGCGGGAAAAGCTGGGGGCGTTGACGACAGGAAACCGCGAAATGCATGGCGTGTCGCGCCGAGGCGTGGTGGCACAGAACCCGCGGAGCCACACGCGATCCCAAAGTTCCCGAGCGCATTCGCAGTCGGGACACCGACGGCAGAGGGAACCCGAGAGGGCACAAGACTCTTCAGAGGGCAGCCCATGCTCCAGGCATGAGAGCGACACGAGGCGCTACAGACAGGACACACGAGTATCTACCCCTTGTTCTGTTGGGCCGACCTACGACTAGGTCGGGCCTGTCCCCCTAACAGGCGGATTTGGGACGAAAGAAAACAACAATACCAAAATGCACCCCCCAAAATGCCTAAAAATGGTCCAAGAATCGTCCCCAGACTATGTGTCTTGACTATGCTTGAAGATTCCCTCTGTATGGGGACAGGCCCGTCTTAAAAACCCACGACTCGAACCCGACCGGTAACCCGTCGGAGGCCCCTGCGAATAGGGGGCCACATGCGAGCCCTACCCCTACCCCCCACGAGTTCTGAGGGGGAGGGCGGGGCTCACTTCGACCCGGAGCTCCCGAGCGAAGTGAACCCCACCCTCCCCCTCAGAAATCGTGGGGGGCAGGGGTAGGGTTCGCATGTGGCCCCCGACTGGTGGCCTTCCTGGAGCCGCTTGCTCCACTCGTGCGTCGCGGCTGCGTCGAACGCCCGCCGGATGCAGCCGAGCTTGCGCCGAGCTGGAGTCGAGCTGGAGTCGAACTGGGCACGAACGAGTCCGAACAGACCTGGGCCCTCCCCCATGTGGGTAGGGCAGGGTTCGCCTGTGGCCCCCTACATGCGACTCTCCTCGGAGGCCGGCGCGCTGCACACGCCCAGACGCCGCCCGCCGGCGCGCCCCCCCCCCCCCCGGGCGTGCCGGCGTGGCCCGGCGCGCCGCCCCCCCACGGAGCCCACGCGGGCCTCCGAACGGTTGCGCCACGGCTCGGAAGGGGCCCTGGGGGCACACAAGTGCACACGGTGCACACTCCGCCCGGGCTTGGCCAGGGAGGCATGCACATGCCGATCCTGGGCCCAAAGATCGGCCCGGCCAGGATTGAAGGGGCCCTGGGACACACAAATATTATTCGTGTATGCTTATTTCATAAGTACACACAAGTAAAAAGATGCCCCATAGTTTCCCATAGGTTCTGGGCTTTTGTCTTCCCCCCCACTGCCCATAGTTTCCCATATTTTCCTGGGGAGTCGACGATTCATTGTGTCTGTGTGTGTGTGTGTCTTCCCCTCCTGAGGTTCATGACTACCGACCTTAGCTGCACCGATACGCAACACGCAACACGTAGCGAACTGATGCGGAGCTCAACAGGTGGGCTGAAAACGTAGATCCGACGCGATACATTCGCCAGAGCGTGGTCCAGTACGTGGAGCCAACACGCAACGTATTGACACGGACGGCTTGAACACGGGACGTGTTGCGTTTCAATACGGGCGTATCGAGGCAACTAAGCTACATACCAGACCACCCCAACCCAACAAGAAGACCCGAATTTCGGGTTGGGGGGGATACGGGTTCCACATGTGTTTTCTCGGTGCTCCCCGACCCCCCCCCACACTGGAAGTGGAGGGCACACTGAGGCCTTCGGGTTGGGTTGGGGTGGTTTGGTGGGTGGCGAGCTCAACGATATGTCGGAGCATAGAAGAAGACAAAAACGGCGTCAGCATAAACTGTTGGCGCTCCGCGCGGATTTCTTGGATCCGCGCTGGAGCTACCTCCCTGGCGCGCGGAGCGCGCCAGGGGCGGCGCTGGAGGCGCCGCCGGAGCGGGTCCAGCGCAGATCCAAAGAATCCGCGCGGAGCGCCAAAAGTTTCTGTCTATGGCTTTTTGTCTTCTTCGAGTTCAACGGCATGTCGAAGCAGGGCGAGTTGAGACAGTAGCATCGGGTCGGCCCAGGGGGGGGTGGCGTCCAAGAGGGGGGGGCGCATATCATGGCTGGCGGCATGTGCGCGACCCAGGGAAGCGGGGAGGCCAGGGACGTAATGAAATGAGAAGAGGCGCCACGAAATCTGGGGAGATCGCATGGCCCCCGTCAAGATATCCACACCCCCTAGTCATTACCCCCCTCTTGGCCGCTCCCGACTCCCGCCCGTGCGCGGCACATGTTTCTTCCCCGACCAGTCGGGGGAAGCGGGGCCGCGCGCGAGAAACTTGCGTTCACACCAGGTGCGAGCGCGCGCCAGTCCCAGCATACCCAATTTGCCCTCCTCCTCCTCGTCCTCCTCGTCCTCCTCCTCCTCCTCCTCCTCCTCCTCCTCCTCCTCCTCCTCCTCCTCCTCCTCCTCCTCCTCCTCCTCCTCCTCCTCCTCCTCCTCCTCCTCCTCCTCCTCCTCCCCCCCTAATCATCACCCCCCTCTCTGCCGCCCCCGGCAGCAGCTCAGCATCGGCCCCTGGACCCCTTCCCGGGCCCAGGCGCACACCCTTTCTCCGAGCTGCGTCGTGGCGTCGTGGCGACGAGGCGGCTCTCCCGAAGGCCATTTTCACCGTTCCCTCAACTCGCCCTCCTCCTCCTCCTCCTCCTCCTTCTCCTCCTCCTCCTCCTCTCCTCCTCCTCCTCCTCCTCCTCCTCCTCCTCCTCCTCCTCCTCCTCCTCCTCCTCCTCTTCCTCCTCCTCCTCCCTCAACTGCCGGTTTTGGCCGCTCTTCGAGATGGGCCCGCCGTGGGCAGGACGTCCCCGGTCAGCACGAAGACGCCGCTGC